TTTTTTTTTGGTTTTTCTCCGGTACCGGGAACCGAACTCACGACCTTGCGCTTGCCAGGCAGGCGCTTTTGCCGCTGAGCTAAATCCCCAGCCCCTATCATTTTTCTTTATCCCACAATTATACATAATAGCTTCAGAATAACTATAATGCACACATACAAAATTTTCTAAAAATTTTCTGAAAGCAGTTCAAGATTTTTTTTTTCACAGTTTCATTAGAATATAAAGTCAAGTTGTGGTCTAATGTTATTTGAAATTATTGGTGTGGCTGTCATTTTGTCAACTCAATAGTGTTAAGTTGATTTGTTTTATTTTGACTCTTAGGGATTGATTCTTGAAATGCTGTTTTCTACTACTGCAAAAATGTATCTTGGTGATCACTCTGTGTCTGCATTTGAAGCCATTTTCCATTCTTTTATACCTACACATGGCTCGCCTTTGGGCATCTGTACCAAAGTTTATTCAACCAGTCTCAACAGTCCTGCTTTTCCCTCTCACAGATCGTGTTACCACTGCGTACCATAGTTGTACAGTACGCATTTGCACACTTCTTTGCTGGACTATTTTTGGGATAGATTCCTAGACAGAGGTTTGCTAGCTCAGAGAGTAGTACGTAGGCGATTTTACTACATGTTACCAAATTTTCTCCTCACAGGGGATGTTCCATCTCACATCCCCACTAGCAGTGTGTGGGAATTCCTGTCTTGAGCTTTGCTGAACTCTCTGTAGAAAGGGCCGTTGTTGGCTGTTTACGTATCGTAGATACTAAGACTGGGATTTACGTTGCAAATGTTTTCTCCCAACTTGTTATTTATCTTTTTACTTTACTTTTGGGATTTATCTCTTTCAAGATTACCGAGGAATTAACCCATTCTTCTAATATGCATGTAGACTCAAATCCTCAATCCATGGAGCATTCACTCTGGTTTGCAGCAAGAAGAATGGGTCTATTACATCATTTCCTGTATGAAGGTTCATTAGTTATCACAATACGACGTTTAAAATGGTCATCACAATACTACTTTTAAAATGGTCATCTCCTGTGCACTGATTTGGAATGCTCCTTTTTATTTTTACTAAATTGCCACATCCAGTTGGACCTATCTCTGCACTTTTATTCTGTCTCGTTGATCTTCTTTCTATCCAGGCACTAACACCACTTTGTCTCTGTTGTAGAGACATTGTAACATGCTTAGAAATCGTGTAAGGGTTACATCATCTGGCTCTTCATGAATCTGTTCTCTTTCAGTTATTTCCTGTAGTTTTTGCACTTTCCCCTCCAAATATACTTAAAAAATAGTAAGTTTAATTCTAGAGAAAAATGTATTGGTAATTTCACTTTAGGAGAACACCTCTCTAAATAACCAGAGACACAACTTTGAGATCTGTGTCAGGATTTCCAAACCTGGACAAGGACAACTTCCAAATCTCTCAGCCCCCCTGGTTAACTCAGCTATTAGTTACAGAACACACACTGCAGCCAGCACCCCACTGGGAGCCTCCCCCCTCCCTCCTAGCCACACCTGTCCCCGGTCCCCTGGGTCCGCTGCCTCTCTTTTAGATGCTGTACAGACCCTGCACCGCAGTGTGAGTCGGGAGCTACAAGTATCTGCACTCTGCTCTTCCTGCCGCTCACCACCCTCACAAGAGGCTTAAAAGAAATCCGTGCACCGTCAAGGCATCCTCCACAGTATCTGTGACCA